CTGTACACACAGGTGAGCCCCAGAGACAGCCTCTCATCAGATAAGCAACACCCACAATGAGAGGTATCGATGTGAGTTCTAGGAAGGAAACTGCAGAGTGAGCCAAGGGAGTCGGTGGGGACGGCTTTGCGTACCAGATGGGCAGAGCTGGACAAATGGCGAATGCTGGGATAGAAGGGTCTCTGTTCCCTTCTATTCAGAGTGAGAAGTTTTAACCAGAAACACAGAGGGCAGGCTCACACCTGAGTGGCCTGGAGTTTGGAAACACAGTCCTGCTGACAACTCACAACAGCATGAGGTCACCAGTTAAGCATCTCTGGTCATTTCGGTTTGGGCTTTCACATCAAACACTGATGTGGAAACAGTAACTCGGTTTAGCCGGGACTTCGTGGGAGGCAGCACGGACTTGTCATGGCTGTGGAATGCCTGAAACAGACGACACAAGCATCTGGTAGGTTCTCGCCATGTTTCAGGCTGTCCAGAAACTATGGGACCAACACTGTGTGACCAAGTCTGTGAATGTCACAGAGCCAAGAGCCTTGGCAGCCTCGAGGGTGGTGGTGTTAGGCGCGGGCACCTCTCATTTGCTCGGAGCTTTCTTTCGATGGGTCATACCGCTTCTTATTCTCCATCGGAGCGCCTTTCACAGCCGGGGCATGGGGAGCTCAAGAGTTACTGCAACAGCAGAGATGATTTTGAAGGGTTGGTTTATAACATCAGACAGACAAAAGCAAATGGCCCCAGATTCTGGTGAAAAGGGAAACTTACATAAGCTAAGCCCTCTGCTCTCCAAAATCAGTAGAGATAGTCTGGAAGTTTTCTAAAAGCTGTGGATTTATTACAATAAACCCCCAAACTAAACACTGTTCCCATTTTTGATGAATGTCTTAAAAATCTATTACACACTTCCTATCTCTTCGAACCTAAGTTGGAACCCTTTTGTGATGACGCTGATGACTCGGGGTCACCAGCAATTAGACGCTTGGGGCCCTGAGGGTGGCCTGAGGGGCTTCCCGCTGGCCTGCTGTTCCCTGGCTCATCACCCCTTCTGAGAACCGGCTGCTTCTAATCAGTGATAGGCACGACAACCACATTTTCCCATTTGCAATGTGAAATAGACACACTGGGACTCCAAGGGTCTCTCCTGGCAAGAAATTGGAGGACTTCGTGCATGGACTCAGCGCCCCACCCAGGAACCGTGGCTGTGAGTGAGAGAAGAGACGGTGGCAGCTGTGCTCCAAACAGCGGGCATCGCTGCATGGCAGACAAGAGCCTCCAAGGATGGGCAGGTGAGTCGACAACAGAATAAGAAGACTCTCCCTGTAACTGCACTAGCTGGCATTTTAAAGCCAAGCTGTTTACAGCTAAATCTACACTGAACAGACCTGTCTAAATGTATCCAAGGGTTCAAAGAGAAATAATGAACTGCATTACCATACAAAGCTTCCAGTTGCTCTGCCAGCTTCTCACACCCCAGAGGAGTCGCTCTCGGGATCCTATCCTTGTGCTGTGGCTAAGGACAGATAAGGTCCATTCTAGAGTGTTCTGGACACAAAGCACCATTGACTGCAACTCAGGCACAAGGACCAAGTAAGATCGGGAAGCAAAACAATCTCTTTCACTTCTGAGGGTTTCTACAGCAATGAGAAACAATGCCCACGGCAGCATAGACACACAGGCTGGGCAACTGCCAGGGTTTGCTGTTTGAAGTCGAGGCTGGGTGAGAAGTGGGACTGTGAGCTGACCCATTCGCTCATAGGATCGTTATCAAGGCCCTCAGTTCTCTGCAGAGCACGAGGAGTGCGGCTCTAGCAGTCCACCCGCTTGCCTTGTCTGCCACTGTTCTGCACTCAGGGCTGCAAACACAGACCCTCCGTGGCCAAATCCCAAACACGGACCTCACATACTGGACAACACAGTATACGTTCATGTGAAGCCCCACATTTGCAGATGTTCTCTCATCTAAAACTTCCCCAAGATTTCAAGGTATTCCTTTGACACACATGGACCTGCAGAGTAGTGTGGTTTGGGGGTCAACGATAGTGGTTATTTTTTAAGGAACACAGGAGAAAGGGAAGAGATAGAAAAAATGCAGAAAAGGCAAGGTTGGTTCTGTTGACACGCAGATCACAGAGAGGCACAGTGGCTCTATACACCTGCAAAATAGTGCTCGGCTTGCCTCTTCTTAAGTTTTTTAAGTTTCTCAAATAAACTCTTGGCTGATGAAATCCACTCTTAAGGCCTGGTGAGGAAGGGTGAGAATTGTTTCCCAGGCTGCAAAGTGGTCTGAAGGTTACACATGAGGCTTCGGAAGGGAGGGGCTGAACTATTATTTACCATTTTGTTAATACTGGTAGGACAACTACAAGGAGATGAATTTCCAACAACCTGACAGGTTGGAAGTAGATTTTTCCCCAGTGGAGTCTCTGATGAGAACACAGCCCTGGTCAATACCTAGATCACAGCCTGGTAAGATCCCAGCCAAACTTCCCAGAATTCTGACCTATGGAAACTGTGAGATAATGAATGGGCATTGTTTAAAAAAGGAAAAAATGACAGTGGGAATTCTGTAGTTTCTCATGTGTCTCTTTAGCCGTCAACTGACTGGCACATTCTCAAGTGGGGAGATGCTGAAATTCAGAACTAGTCATGGAGAGAAAAAACAGAGCTTACACAGAGCCTTCAAAATCAGCCCTTCCCTGGAATTTTCTTCCAGAAAAAAAATCATCTTGAATATTAAAAGTTGAAATTCTCATTTGAGCTGAGTGTGTGGTATTAATACTACTAGCTCTAAGCTCTATCGTCACCATGGGCATCACTATGTGTCACCCTATGTCAGGCATTCCAGACAGCTCTGCACGTGAGTTCTCCATTTTTCCAGAAGCTATTGGTCACCTCAAAAGACCTGGGATGCTTGTTAAGAAAACAGAGTCCTGGGCTCTCCCTCAGCTTAGTGAATCAGAATTTCTAGGCACAAGTGTCCAAGAGATTCTTACCATCAGGGATCTTTGGGCAAAATTGCTTTACCTCATTTAGTGTGTACCACAATCCTAGAAGGCAGATATTATTTACCTCATTTGGCAAAGAAGCAAAGTAACTTGTCCAAAGTGCCTGAACTAGGCAATGAAAGAGCAGAGATTTAGAGGTTCTGGCTGTCAGCAAGTCATGTTCTTATTTACTTGACTGTACTGCTGCCCACTCATTACATGGAATTTGACAGAAACTTTCCTTTCACCAAATTACAGAGCAGCCCGTACTATTTAAAAAGGCAGGAGAAGGACTCCATGAAGAATTAGTGGCAATATTTAAATCTACACATGTTTAGCCTTACCCATAACCCAACCCTGTCTGGAGTCCTGAGCTTTCTCTGCAACCCAGGGCTATGCCCAGCTCCCGCTTCAGCCCCACAATGAGTAACGGGGTAAATGGTGACAGCCCTGGAGTGGGCCACGAGGTTCTGAAGGGCGGGCCTGCACTCCTGCCAGGAACATCTCTACAGCTTTTCCTAAGTGTGAGCTAGCTAATACACTCTCCACACCACCATTTGTTTTTTTTTTTGAGACAGAGTCTCGTTTTTTTGCCCTGGCTAGAGTGAGTGCTGTGGCGTCAGCCTAGCTCACAGCAACCTCAAACTCCTGGGCTCAAGCGATCCTTCTGCCTCAGCCTCCCAAGTAGCTGGGACTGCAGGCATGCGTCACCATGCCTGGCTAATTTTTTCTCTCTCTATATATTTTTAGTTGTCCAGATAATTTCTTTCTATTTTTTAGTAGAAACAGGGTCTCGCTCGTTGCTCAGGCTGATCTCGAACTCCTGACCTTGAGCGATCCACCCGCCTCGGCCTCCCAGAGTGCTAGGATTACAGGCGTGAGCCACCACGCCCGGCCCCACCATTTGTTTTGTCAGAAAAGTATTTAGAAGCATTTGGAAACAGTCTATGGCCATACCACCCTGAATGTGCCTGATCTCATCTGATCTTGGAAGCTAAGCAGGGTGAGGCCTGGTTAGTACTTGGATGGGACAACCATTTGGAAACAAATTTGTACAAGAGAAGTAGAAATCATATACACTGTGTACACACACTGAACCTGGAAATGCATATTAAACACTCTTGCTTATAGCTATTAAAACATAATTCAATTTAAAGTCTTAGATTTCTGATACCAATCCAGTTAAATGGAAAATTTCGAAGCAGCATTATCTATGTTAGTCTCACAAGTACCAACTCAAGTCTTCACACTAAGATGTTCTCAACTCAGGCTTCCTTCCCACCATGGAGACCAAAGGAAAGGGAGTTTACAGCTTGCATTCAGTATTTTAAGTAGGCCCCATGAGGCCTGAGTTCTACCTTGGTCTACAAGGCAGGGCAGGCCACAGCCTCCTGTGCTGAGAAATTCATGTGAAAATGGGGATGGAAGTTCCTCCCCAGCTCACTCTACGCATGTCGTAGGCAGATCGGGTCAGCTAGGATGCGTGAAGACTTGGCAAACCAGAAAGTACCACCTTATTTAGGCATTTCCATTTGACACTCATCAGCTGTTCGGTAACTGCTAGTCTAATTCAAAACGATTCAAATTTATGCTTCTAGCAAAGTTTTACTACTCATTTGGAAGGTTTAAAAAGTTCTAAACTTCACATGCCTCACGATAAAATAAAAATAGGACTACACGCCTCACAAGTCATTCTTAAGACAATTAGGCCAAAATGGGAGCTAAGACATCCATCCAGCAAGCTGCCCCAGACTGCAAGCCGAGGGACCATAATTACCTGTTTCTCCCCACAACGTGTCGGTGCCATTAACTTCTATCTCGTGTTCCTTTTCCATTCCCAGCAAGCACTGGACCACCTGTCAGAAGTGGCAAGGTGATTTAATGAGCTCTCATAGCAATAGGTGCTTATTATACTCCACGTATCAAAGGAGAGAGTGTGTTGTTTTTTAACCATTATTATCTCACGCTGCACAAGGAGAGAAAATATAATGAAAACCATTTTCAAGCATAATTCATATGCTATTCACACTTTCACTTAGAGAAGAGTTTAAAAAAAATTCAGTGAATTTCAGCAACATTGTTCGGGATTACTAGGTACTCAGAATTCTAATGAATTCCAACATGACCCAAATATGCCAGCCTCATCAACAAAGGACATGGCAGATCACACAAAGTGCAGCTTCTGCATAAATCACCAGAAGATGGTGAATCTATCTTTCACAAGGAAGGAAAACAGGCAATATATACCTTTTTCACTAAAAATTTTTACTAAGTACTATCCAAATAATTTTGTACCGGCAGCATTATTCTTTTCTCTTACAGGGATCTGCCGGCCGAAGAGCAGGCTGGGTCACAGGAGTGGGGGCAGGAATGCCGGCTCTCAGGGGGTCGGAAGCACTCACGGAGCCGGTGCTCACCCTGAGCAAGAGCAGCAACAGGAGAACGAGACAAAGCCATCCTCCTGCCCCCAACCTACAACCTCTGTGCTGAGCCGAATAACAGCCCCTAAACACGTGCACATTCTAGTCCCAGGAACCTGTGAATGTGACCCTAAATGGCAAGAGGGAACCGCAGATGGGATTGTGAATCTTGAAATGGGGCGATTACCCTGAATTATCAAGGTCCACATCTGATACACACCTGATCTAACTGCGACAGTCCTCCTAAGAGTGACAGGAGAAATCGGGGTCAGAGGGAGGAGGAGATGGGACGACACTAGGGTTATAGTGATGTACTTTGAAGGTAGAGGAAGAGGCCACGAGCTAAGGAATCCAGGTGGCTTCAAGAAGCTCGAGAAGGCAAGGAGACAGGTTCTCCCCTAGGGCCTTCTGAAGGATCACTGGCCCCGACACCTTGGTTTTAGGCTTCTGACCTCCAGAACCACAAGAGCAAGTGTGTGTTGTTTAATCCACTAAGTTTGCGGCCACTCATTTCAACAGCTTTAGGAAACTAATAAACCATTCAAGGCTTTTGGTGAATAAATCTTGCTTTTCTGATGAAATGGCTGCTGGCTGTGCTGAGGCTGCTTTTGCTCAGTGCTGCTCCCGGCCAGCTATAAAGTGAGGGGTGAAGGTGAGTTGAGAGAAGGTCACGTGGTGTTCATGGTGCTCCCGGTGGTGATTTTCCACATTTCAGACCCATTCAGATTCGTAAATAGTTAAAAAGGGAAAACATCTACATTTTCAGATATGTGTACTTAACAATCTGTGTATATACGTGCATTTCTAATGTTTTAGATGACAAAAATGAGCCAGCCAGCATTTCGTGTTTGTGTGTGTGTCTGCCCTTGGGTTTTAAATGCCAGAAGTCAGTCGGCCAGCTTTGCACTCAAATTTACTTTAAGTCACTTTGGGGAAAGAATCTTACCAAATGCTGGGCTCTCTAATCGCTTGAAGATAATTCAGAGTGAGAAATACACGGAAGAGAGTGAGTAAAATGTTATTAAATTCACAGATAAAGGCAAGGCACATGGGTCAGGAGAGGAAAATTAAATCTTCAAACTGAAGAATACTAACACCTGCCAGAAATAAATGCTCTATTTAACTACTGCATGGGGTTTTCCTTCAGTGCAGGAGCTGCAAATGACAAGCATTCTTACATGCTATCAGAGCACTGAAGTTCTATTTTTAAAAATCCTTCAAATATTCAAGAACAATTTTAGAACCAGGATTCCATGTGATTATTTTTAGAAGATCACAAGGACAAAAGAATGAATCAAAGGGGAAAAACCATAAAACAGTAGGGCTAGAGGGCAAACTAGAGCAGGGAAGAAGAGGGAAACGGATTAGGAAGAGCAGAGATGAATGTCTCGGGAAGGCTCCACCCTGGGAGCACCAGGCCTTGCACAGAAGAACAAATCCGCCTTTCCCCGTCCACACACGTGACACTGCGCCCTCCTCTGGGTTATCACTTGTGGGAAGGACATGATGCCAGCGGAAGATCTTCTATTACAAGTGGTCAAAGCCAACTGCTAGTTCTTGAAATCCTCATCTTCCTTTATTCCTTCAGTGTGTTGCTGGCTCACAGCTCAGAAGGCAGTGATTGGCAAAAGCAATGGACTCACTGTGCTGCGGCTTCTAGTTTCCTAGGAAGGAAGCCCTTGGCCCCACTCACCGAGCTGTGGCCCATGCTGGCGGCCGCTGTCAGCGCCTGCTGCAGGGCATGGCTCTTCCTCAGTGTGCCTGGCTGGGGAGGACCTGCCGACCACTCACAGGTCAGCAGATACTGGAGAACGTCGCAGTGGCCCCGCAGTGCGCTGTGGACAAGTGCACACTGGCCCTTCTTATCCAAGTGGTCTACCTGGGGGCAGGAGCAGAGAAAGGGCACAGGTGAGAATCACCTTTCCTCTGAGATCATGGGTGCACCACCATTGCTGTGTGCGAATCCCACCCCACTGCAAATGTACATGGGTTCCCACTCCAATTTGTTTTTCTGGAGAGCACTGGACCTCCGTCTGGTTACTTTGTGATAAGGAATGCACCATTCCAGGCCTCGGGTTCCCTGTGCAGGTCTGGCCATCACAAGACACCCTCCTCACCCTCTGCGTCCTTCCAGCACACTACGTGGAGCTCCAGGTTCTCTTGCAAGCACGTATGAAGAGACAGACCAAAACCCCCGACAAAGCCCTATGCATCTCAGCTTTGGTTCCTGGGTGGAGCATTCTAAGTCTACTGTGACAAGCTATGACTTAGGGGAGCAGAGCAGCTCTCTGGTCACTGAGCCAGGGGAGCCACAGAAAGGGAGGAGTCTGGAAAACAACTCTGAACGAGGAGAGTTAAGAAGGGAGTCCAGGTGGTATCTGAGTGGGGAAAGAGGCCACGTGTAGGCAGGCGGGGGCAGGGGGGGCAAAGTCGGGGCAGGTCAGGTAGCCAGAAAGAGAGAGTGCTTGAGTGCTGCACATCTTCTCAAGGCCCGAAGGCAGCAGGCAGCTCATCACTTCCCATCTAAACCAGGGAGCGCTGGGGCTGGGAGAGGAGCCCAGGGCCCAGCCTCAACAGGCTTGCAAACCCTGGGGATGCTCTGTACCCTCAGCTTTGTAAGAGACACCGACGTGACACCCAGCCTCCTCCTACAGAGCTTTCAGCTGTGATGGGAGGGGGCCTGCTGGCCTCAGAACAAAGCTCAGGGACAGCTGGGATCCAGAAATGGAGGCGTGGTGTCACGCAGCAGTAATGTGCCACCGCAAAGGCTGAGCTGCAATGCTTCCCTTCTTAATAAGCCTGAAGTTCATACGTCCCAAATGTTGGGTTTTTGAGAGAAAGAAACAAAAAGGCTCCCACAGCTACTATAAAAACCTAGTATTTGTTGAATTTTAAATATCCTACTTAACAAAAAAGGTGAAAGACAATTATCAGCAGTTATCTCTACTGTTGTTCAAAGGGCACATTTCCCAAAGAAATGCTTATAGTGAACTTTCTACTACTGCTGCTAGCATATTACTCTGAGGTAGGCCTAATTCTCATTTAATCTATTAACACTGATAGCTCCAGAGTAACTTGTTTAACAATATATAGTTATTTCATATATATGATTTGATGCCTACACAACAACCCTGTGGCAGGCACTGTCATTGTGTCCATTTTACAGATGAGAAGCCTGAGATATACAGGCTCAATAACTTGCCCAGCACCTTAGGTGGCAAGTGGAGGGGGTGATTTGGGACAGTGTAGTTCCTGCAGCCCAAGCACACAGCTTCAAAGACCCATGGAACTCACGTTATTGTTTTATAAAGGGCATAGCATGAAATAGGATAAAGAAAGGAGAAGAAAAAAAAACAAACACACACTTTAAATATTTTCAACCAATCGTGGTGCTATGTTAAATTCTAGGTCAATACTTGCAGGCTTTTTTAAGGATGGCCCTGCTCATGTGGCCAGCAGCCAGGGTCTCCTGGTATTCTGCCTCCCTTTGTGCAACGTTAAGCAGAGTAACAGCATATGAGCAAAACACACAGCCCAGCTCTCTCCCAGGGCTGCTCCAGACCGATTGACACCTGCAGCCTCACGCTTTCTGCTTATGCTGTGGTTTCTCAGCTCAATGCAACTCGATAGAGTAGAGACCAGAGAGACTGGCCCAGATGATGACAATTCTAGCAATGAGATGAAGGTATTTCCCCACCCCATGGTCACACCCTGGCCAACCCCAAGTGGGAAGGCTGCCACGTACCCTTGCTCCCTTCCTGGTCAGCAGACACACCAGCTTCATGTGGCCCGCAGCTGCTGCATAGCAGAGGGCGGTCATGCCGTTCTCCGACGTTCCATCCAGGCAGGCACCGAATTCCAGGAGCAGAGTGACAACTTCCTCGTGGCCGAGGTGAGACTGGACGCACAGGATTGGGGCATTATTCAACACTTCTGTCCTGTAGTTCACATTGGCGCCTCCCAAAATCAAGAGACGGCTCACCTGTTGAACAATGTCCCCCAACAAGATTAATTTCTCATGTAAATGTCACTCTCAGCAACATCTGTGGACAAGGGCAGTATCCTTAATTTTTTGTATCATTTTAATTCACTGGTTCTCAAACTTGAGTGCGTGCCGGTATCATCGGGAATACATTTATAGCGTGTAGTCTCACTGGTGGGAATGTAAAATGGCATAGGCACAACAGGAAACAGTATGGAAGTTCCTCAAAAAATTAAATTTTGGCTTTGTTATCTTTGTTATACACAGCAATCCCACTTCTGGGTATATTCAAAAGCACTGAAAGCAGGGACTTGAACAGATATTGGAACACCAGTGTTGATAGCAGCCAGCATCAGTCACAACAGCCAAACGGTGGCAACAACCCCCCAGGTGTTCATCGATGAACAAATAAACAAAACGTGGTATATACACACAATGGAATATTATTCAGCCTTAGAAAGGAAATTCGGACACATAATTAACACGGATGAACCTGGCAGACATTATGCCAAGTGAAATAAGCCAAAGACAGAGGGACGAATACTGCGTGATTCCACCTAGGTGAGGTGCCTACAGGAGCCAGATTCATAGAGACAGGAGGTCGAATGGTGGTTTCTGGGCCTGGGTGAAGGGAGAAATGAGAGTTTAACGGGTCTAGAGTTTTAGTTTTGTAAGAAGAAAGTTCTGGAGATTTATTGCACAATAATGTGAATATACTTAACGCTAATAAATTGTGCACTTAAAAAATGGTTAAGATGATAACTTTTCTGTTGTGTGTTTACCACAATAAAAAATTTAAAAATTGAAAAATGCACATTCTCAGGCACCCCTGGATTTCTGATTCAATAGGTCTGCAATGGCGCCTTTTTAATGGGTTCCCAGGTGATGCTGATGCTGCTGGTTTGGGGACCCCACTCTGAAAAATCAGTTTAACCTAAATAAAAATGGACAATTCATCTTTCTGGCAGTGAAATAATCATCACAGGATTAAATAATTAACAGTGAGATAACAAAGCCACAAGTAAATACAAATCCACTTTTCTTTACAAGGATGAGTTCCTAAAGTACAAGTGGAGCATACGGAAATGTTCGTGTGCTCCCGGACAGTGGGCAGCACGACACCGCTAGAAAACGATCTGCTGCTTCTGCCAATTACTGCGCCCACCACCCACTGCGCTCCTTGGGTCTAGATATCAGGGAGAGTTTTTTATCTACAGATCTTAAAATAAAAATCACTGAACATACACAAATTTTATCTATACTAATATCTTCTTCAGATAATTAGAAAAATGATGCTCCTTTAACAGGTATTAAGACGCCCAATGTGTTTCTTTAAACGGTTCACTTCGATGATCCCAACCCTCATCAGTCACCCCCTGCCAAACCCTGGCAGGTCCTCTGGGCGCCCACTAAACGTGAAAACCACAGAGACCGTGTCATTTACTGACTGGAGACACATGGGGATCATTTAAAGATACAGAAAGATGACGAGGCACGTGAAATTCAGGGCATTTCAGTGATAGGTGTGCACAAGAGTGGCCGACAAACAGTCACAAACTGATGGATCTGGGACATTAACACTGCCAGGCGGTGACTCATAACTCAAATAGCACAGCCACAGGTTAGACCCAAAGTGTAAGATCTGAAAGTGTCTTGGCTGCTGCTGAAGCTTGACCCTTGCGTGACCCAGGCCTCCAGCTTCCTCCCTGACTTCTCTCTAGAACCTTTCCCCTCACTGCAGCCGCCCTGGACCCGAAGCTTGTCCTGTGACAATGCCAAGCAGGCCTGGCCTCATAGCCTCTACCCTTGCGGTTCCCTCTGATTGGAATGCTCATTCCACAGACACAGATGCCACAGGATCGCTTCCTACGGTCTCTGCTTCGACACCAGGATGCCAGGGAAAACGGCTCTGCACCCTCGCACACAGAACGCCCTGGCCTCCCTTTGCCCCTCAGCACACTCTGCTTTCCAGCTTAGCCCACTGCACCAGACCCTGGTTCTAAGGTACAAAGGTTCTTAGAGGTAGCTAAAGCTCCTCCATGGACACAGACGGCCCATGAGTCGTCCTTCACGCTGGGACTGCCACATTCAAGGAAGGACAGGTCATGCACAGGTGAGGCCGCCACACTGATGAGGCAGCCGACCACCTGACCACTGCCCTGTCGTTCACCCCTTCAGAGGGACCGCCAGTCTGGCCTGACCCGGTGAGCACCAATCAGCCTCCAGCCTCCCGCTGTCAACCTGCACTCGTGGAGAGACAGGCAGCAAACACCCAGAGGGACAGAGGAGAGATCAGAAAAGGTGTTCCTATCCTAACACTGGCACTGAACAGGTGACCATGGCAAAGGACCTAATTAATCCCCATCAAGCCTGCACTTCACATCTATACAAGTTTGCTCTTAAAAATACCACCAGACTGAACTAGAATTCAAAAGCATTTTAAGACTGTAAGTGCTAAATAAAAGGGTTTTTAAAAAATATCCCCTTTGAATAACTATTATTAGTATGATAAGAATAGGATTATGCTGAAAAAATACTTACTGATCTTATCAAGACCTAGGAAACCAGTTCTTAGCTTGAGTATAGAAGGCCACTGAGGGGCACATCAAACTCTGCTCACCACAGGACAGGCAAAAATAGTTTGTAGATTTCCTGAGGGGCTTTGCCAGCCAGTTACACTCTTCCCTCGCCCATGAATCCCATACCCTCTTGAGATCCATGAGCCTAAGAGAACAAGATGATGGATTAAGTGATCTGAGTTCTCAACCAGCCCCTTAATTAACTTGCTGTGTGATTTTCAGAATATTACTCAGCATCTCTGTGCTTCAGGTACCTCTTAATAAAACAGCAGTATACCACCCCATTCCACCTACCAGGTAGTCTTTGTTAGTAATGTTGGAAGGTGTACTTGCAGTACCATGATGAATACAAGAGTTTACCTGAGAGGTATGTGCTCAGGGCACAGCCTTCCTAAAGATGTCTGTCATCAATTCACACTTCATCTGCCTCTGAGAAAAACATTTCCTTTGTTGCTAACAATGCTCTGGACATTTTTACCACTTAACCCCCCCATCAGTTTTTGGCACTTCTCTTAATTCACGGTTCTTAACCCTGCTGCATACTGAAACCACCAGGGAGCTTGAAAGTTTCCAATGCCTGGGACCCACCCTTGGAGAATTAGACTTGGCTGGGGCTCTGGCGCCCAGAGCTCCCAAGTGATTCCAGTTGGCAGCCAGGGCTGTAAACACATCAGGTGATAAATTCACCTGCAGAGCTCGAGCTTGCTGGGTGCCAGGTACCCTTCCAGCTGTGTGATTTGGGGCAAGCTATCGACTGCCCTAAGCCTCAGTTTTCTCATCTGAAAAATGGGGATAAAAAACAATTTCACTTCACTGGGTGGCTGTAAAGATTAAAAATGAATGTGTAAAAAAAGGTGCACGTATTTATGTGCACACATATATATACACGTGCAGATAGCATTTAATGCAGCACTCAGCATCCTGTAAGTGCTAAATAAACACTGACTGCCATTGTTATAATCACCTTTTCATGGAATCTTCAGAAGGGTCACGAGCCCAGGTCCCTGAGCCCTGGAAGGCACAGGAGGGAGCTCTGCCCAAGGCACCCGGTGACCTGGATGTCTGGCTGCCCATCCATATCACCTGTGTGCCCACCCTGGGCTGCTCACAGGCACAGAGCAGCAGGCAGACGTCCTGCAGAGCTGAGGGCAGATGGGAGCCACCTGGGACTATGAAACCCTCGAGGTAGGTGGCTCCTGTTCACTGCCAAGCGGCACACCCAGGGGCCTACGCAACCACAGAGTCAGAGTTTGCAGAGATGAGGCGAAGCATTAACAACTCACTGGAGCCTGTGATACATGCCAAGGATTTTTCCCAGTAACTCTAACATCTCGGTGAGGTTTCTAATCACTCTGTGAGATAGGCTCTTTTGTTGCCTACATTTTACAGGCGAGAAAGCTGAGGCCCAGAGGGGCTGAGGCAAAGATGGGTGCCGAGCACCAAGCTCATGACAGTCACAGAGTGGTCCAGTGGCAGAAGCAGCAGCCCCAAGACTGCACTGCAGTAAAGGAAGGCATTTAAATAAGTGATTCATCCTACAGATTTTCCCCAACTACATGAAAATTCTCTGACCATCAGCATCACGGAAGCCCTCCTTGGACAACACCTGGAAGTGGTTCTATTATCTATAAATATCTGGATTTAATGAAAGCAAGAAAATGAAAAAAGGGGGCTGGGGGCAGGCCAAAGATATTATCATGAGGACAGTAGAGCTCTGGCCAGGACAGACATGAAGTGGGGTTGCAGCGTTTCCACTAAGTGTATCAGAAGCTCACACGAGCACACTGTTTAAAAATGTGTGTTGCCTAACTGTGATGCAGAACATGACTGGATCCCACAGCCAAGGGAGGTTAGGCCAAAGTCTATGCCTAACTCCAGTTCTCCTCCCTCCCCCCTCTGCCATCTGCTGAGAAAGAATCACAACTCGAATTCTCCAAGTCCACAGCCAGTGGCTGGCAGCCAGTCCTATGAGACGGTGTGAGCAAAACCACCGGCTGGACGGGAGTCTGGAGGCACTGGTGGCAAGGACCCCAGTGGGCCAGCTGGGGCCCAGGCTGGCACCACCCTGGCCTGGCAATAGGAGACGACATTGTTGGAGATCAACCGGCATGTCACTGAAATTAAAATTCATCTCCCGAGTAATCATCCCAGAGCAAGTCACTTTAATTTACCAAAGTGGCAAACTGCAATTATTGCTCAAAATGACATTCATTCCTGTATGACAACATTTAATACTCTCTAAAAAAAGTTCCTTAATTGCATGCATAATTTTAAATTACTATAATTTGTTCGAGATTCTGTGAAAATCTTTTTTGCCCCCTTGAAAGATAAAAGAAACAGAAGGATAATGGAAAGCCTTAAGATTCTATAAGCACATGCACATTATATAATTTGGGGGATGGTTTAGATATAGGTGAACTGGCATTTTACAAAACAAAGTAAAAATGATTAACTCTTAAAACTGCAAGTATGTTAAAGAGGAAAGTTTATAATCCAGGAGAATCAAGCTCATTATATTATTATGCTATACCTTTTAATTTACTGTCTTAAAAATTTATATTCAACAGATGTTTCCCATTTACTTTTCTCCACATTAAAGTAACCTGTGCCAGCTGGGCATGGTGACTCATGCCTGTAACCCTAGCACTTTGGGAGGCCAAGGCAGGAGGATCACTTGAGGCCAGGAGTTTGAGACCAGTCTGAGGAAGAGCGAGACCCATCTCTACTAAAAATAGAAAAAATTAGCCAAGTGTGGTGGCCCCTGTAGTCCCAGCTACTACCTGGGAGGCTGAGGCAGGAGGATCACCTGAGCCCAGGAGTGTGAGGTTGCAGTGAGTTATCATGACGCCACTGCACTCTAGCCAGGGCAACAGAGCAAGAATCTGTCTTAAAAAAACAAACAAACAAACCCACTAAATGAAAAAATTCTTAATATAACTTCTTTATTATGCAAACTCTAAACTGAGGGCCATTTCTTCTATCTTTCTTTTAGAGTAATTCCACCTAGAAAGCAAAGGTTCCCTTTGATCAGGAGCAACAGCTTGGAGCTAGTTCTCCTTAGCTATAAAAAATGGCTTCCTGTCCACCCACCCCACAAAAACCTGCATGTAGGGTTTAGGAGACACAAGCACTCAAACCTACAAGTCTGGAGCATGAGTAGAAACATGCAAAGGAGCAGGCACAGTGCAGGACAGAGCACAGGGTCCCCATGAGCAGCCCCATAGCTGTGCTTTGCCCAAGGAGGGCACCCAGCCACGGGGGCGAGCGGAGGCTCAAACGCAGTGTGCCCTCTGCCCGTCAGCCCCCGGACCCAGAGCCCTGCTAAGTCCCCCCTGCCACCCTCAGCCTTCTACACACACCGAGACGACAGAGAAGGGGGCAGAGCACACATCTCACCAGACACACACAGGGAAGCACTCTGCAAGACCCACACCCCAGACACACATCCGAAGTGCAGGTGCTGAGTGAGGTGTGTGGACAGCAGGGGAGAAGAGCCACGAAGAGGACTCCACCAACGTCCCCCACAGCGCCATCTCTGCGGCATGTGGCCCCCTTCCTGGGTGGGTTTGATCAACACATGTGAGCAAATGTGAAAGATGGGCACCCGGAGACCCCAAGCCAGGGCTTCGCTTGGTCCCTCACGGACGACCACGCTGGGCCTCCCTTGTACCGAGAGGGGGCAGGACGATCATTTTCACAGAAGCAATTGAAGGGGAAGACCCAGCTCACCGGGAACTGCCTTGGAGCTTCCATAGGCAGCTGGGCACGTCAGGGCTGGGGCTGAACAGCCTGGACACTAACCTTCTTTGTGGCCTTAACTGGATACATGGCCTCTGTGTGCTTTAGATTCTCAGACTGCATTAAATGAGGAAAAATCTACCTTAAAAAGCTGAGCAGAACATCATGACGTGACAGCCACTGACCAAGGAGCGAAGAAGTTCCTGGCTCAGCAGTGGGCCAACCGGATACCCTGTCCAGAAATACACGTGTGCACGAAACCTGCAGTCATGGATCGTCTATGAACCCATTTCTGTGTCATTCATCAGTGCTTAATGTCCCGTGAATGCTAAAGAGATGGTTCAGATTAGTAACCCAGGACACTTTAAAAATCTGTGTTCCCCGGAAATCTCTCTGACCTTTGGTTTCCTTTGTGAACTGCTTCCTTATCCCATCTGCTCTGAAACAGTTTCCGCTTGCCCACAGAGCAGCCCCTGGCCACCCACACATTCCTGCCAGGGAAAAGCTAAACGTCTAGAAGAGAATGTGTAATGAGCATCTAAGCCTGCACAGTTTACATCAGAGAAGGGCATCATTAGACGCTCCTCTACCTCCTCTCGCCATCACCCAGCGCGAGGACTACTGGAGAGGCAGCCAGGGCTGAGCTCGGCTCTCTGCACAGACGGTTGCTCACCTTCACATTGGGAGTATAGAGATTCCTGAGAGAGGCGAGGGCGGCAGACAGCCCCTCGGTGCTGTAACCGATCCACAGGGCTTGGAGATGGCTCGAAGAGATTCCTGTCTTCTTACTGAGGCCCTGGAAACAATCAGAGACATATCTGCCTGAGTGGTTCCTTCCCACCTGCAGCCTCGGTTTTAAAGCAGGTCTGCCCCGAAGGGTGCAGGCACATGCTGAAGGCACGGCAATGCCCACAAAGAACACCTGGACCCATGAGCCTGCACTACCTAAAACCAAAGGTCAAGGACTCAGTCTGCCTTTGCTGCATGAACTGCATGCCTGGGGAGAGAGATGGCAGATGAGAAAACTTCTCTTTATGGAAGTAAATTAGAAGAATAAGTGATAGAATTAGAATATCACCACCTGAGCCAGGTGTGGTGGTCACACCTACAGTCTCAGCTGCCTGAACCCAGATGTTCAGAACCAGCGTGGGCAACATAGCAAGACCCTGTCTCAAAAAAAAGAAAAGAAGAAGAAAAGAAAAAAAGAAAAAATCCAGATGGTGTGAAATTACATCGGTCAAGGAACTCAGCTTCTTGGACAAATAAATAACAAGGAAATAAAACAGTAAAGGATGAAGTGGAACATTTAGACGAATAGAAACTAAAAGACATATAAAGGGGGAAATGTAAAACCTAACCATAGCATGTAGAAACACACTTGGGTGATCAACTATAAAGAAATGCAAGGAAACGATCAGGCTAAGTCAGAACAGCGGTTACTTTCAGAGAGTGGGGAGGAGGCAGTTTGGGAGGAGGCGTGTGGAGGGCAGCTGACAAAGCTGTCTAGAATCTCCAAAACCCAAACCTGCAAACGGCAACAAAGAAACCCTTCCTCACGCTGGTGTGTGTCTCACCTTGAAAATGTGTGCCTTCAGGATATGATGGCCGAGCTCCATGGTCTGCTGGCGGTTCAGCTTGCCCTCCTGTCTCGAGAACATGAACGCCAGGAGAGCGTGCCCATTCCTAGGGAAGAAACACAAAGGCCCATCACCAAAGAGCCTGTCCCGCCACACGGCAGACCCTCGGGTGAGTGAGTGGGCGTGTGCGCATCTCTGCACAAGGCGGCAAGTGCTGCTTATATTTCCAGTCTTCAGGGCCTTTTCTGGGGTCCCTTATCTCCGTGGCACGTCTCACACTGAAGCCCAAGGACAGGGCAGGTCTTTATCTTTGGAACCCCCACTCTATTCATCACTCAGCAATAAATCTTATGTATTGATTTATGCCTGCCACAAAAAAGCAAACCCTGTGAGACTAAGGATCTTGTGTAAGTCACAGGTATAGTCACAATGCCCAGCAAAGTGTCTTAACACTTAGTAAATGCTCAAATATGTGTTTCTTGGATGGATGAATGAGCAGACAGACGGAGAACAACCATTCCTGGGCCCAGCCCCTCAGGATAATCACCATGGCGTAGACCTGGGCCAAAGGTCAAGGCCTTGCAACGGGAAGGAAAGAAAAACAAGGTCATGCTTGGCAACAGCTCAAGATCAGAAAGGCCTAGAATTCTTGCCTTGGCTGGAACACAGGTTCTTGCGGGGAAAACAGGTAAGATGCATGAGTGGGCTTGCTGTGGCTGGGCATGTGGCGGACGTTCAGCTGGCACCGGTGTTTCCCCGCAACTCTCATGGAGGGACCGTCCTACCCGTCTGCCCCCCACATCTGTAGGTGCATCCTGTCTCCTTGTGGACTCCTTGCCTTTGTCTGGGCCGGTTTGTTTGGAAAAGATACGAAGGGTTATTTGCTCCGATAGCAGTGACTTCTGTGCAATGTAATTATTTTCACTTCTATCAACCTGACAACTGTGAGCTGTTGTGTGTGTGTGTGTGTGTGAGTGTGTATACACACACACATGTTTAAAAAAGCATCCTCCCAGTAGTTGCTAGTTTATTATAGAGGATTAAAAGCAATCATCATTTAAACTGTCTTTATCCATCCAGATGTATGTTTGCTTCTCAAACAGATTATAAACCACATTAGAGAAGAGGAAATCAAGGCAGGTAGAGACCAAGAAATTAGTTTTTACACTACAGGGGAGGGCATGACCTTTAAGGCTACGCTGCCCACTGAGTGTCCTGTCCAGTGTCTTATAATTGTCTGGAGCTTTCCCATAAGCACATACCCTGGGGTCCCCTGGACATGCTCCGCCCCCAAACTCAAGCCTCGGATTCCCCCCTCAGACCCCCTTATCCCCACGGAAATGGCTCTCAGTCACCTCTGGTGCTCCAGGCCCCCAAGCCCTCCCCAGTCTCTGTGGACTAGTCCCAGGGTTCAGTCTGGCCTGGAATACTGCGGTAGGGTCCACTCTCCCATCAGTCTCCCAGCTGGCTGAGCTCTGTGGCCGTACCAGCGTGTGCACCACAAAGGCACACTAAATACCAGGGTTCGCCCTTACAGGGAGGTGACAACACCCCTCGCGGTGGCTGGGCTCTCAGCTGAGCACTTGGCTTCCCACCCTGAAGAGACAATTCCCCATGCAACCGCTCCACACCTGCACTCCTGGTCTTGAGACCAAGTGCCCCCTCTCTGACCACCTGCATTCATGAGTCTACATTTTTCCAAAGAGTTCATGTATCAAGATGCAGAAAGCTGTCTGAATTATCTCATTTACCTGTACTAGCCTGTGATCACTAAGTGTTATGATTCCCAGTGTGTTTACAGGAGGAAACAGAGACCTGAACAGGTTCAGTGATTTGTCCAAGACCAAATGGCTGGTAAATGACAGAGCAGAGGTTTAAACCAAAGTCTGCCAGACAGGAGAGCCTGTGCTCTCTACCAGCGTAACATCGTGCCTCCTTTGCTCATTAACATCTGTGCCTTATAATGAGCACCATGCTTGACGTGTGTCATCCCGGGGAGGGGGTGATGCAAGGTGCTCTCCTTGAGGAGTTCTTAGCAACTGGAGGGCACGTGTGCAGACAAGATAAAATTCAGCTAACCTGGTGCTGTGAGCAGACTCGATGTCCCTTCACTTAGCCCCCATTCCTCCCTGCCCACATTTCCAATTCCTCCTTCCTTATGGACTCTGCCTTTCCCCACACTGTCTATGTGATGTTTTCAACAATGTCCCAATCTTGTGTTATTAAAAACAAAAAACCTTCCCTACTCTCAATCTGAAACCTCTCAACCCTTCCACCTCCCATCCCAGCACGTGGGCTCTCTCCTCTTTCACACCTCAAACCCGAAGGACAGGGTCTCCTGAGGAGCCGGGACCCTCTTCCCACACTAAAAATCCAATGGCTTCCTCTTAATCCTCATTTTCCTTCACCTCTTGGCAACACTTACATCCCTAACTTCCCTCCCCGAAATCCTCCATGCTCCGGAAGCCCCGTACTCTTTCCTCTAACTACGCTGGCGTCCACACTAAGTTGTGCCAACCACCTCTCTGTCAATGATGCCACATCCTCAACTGCCAACTTCTCCAACCTCAGACCTGACCTGCCCCTGTGTGCCCGGGAGAGACAGCTACCCCACAAGCTCAACTGCTGAAAACCAAAGGCAGCTTCATCCCCACAAAACCTGCCCCCACTGCCTGCCTCTCTTACCTTCCTAAGAGCAATGCCACATCTCGTTTCTGGGGCTTGAAGTCATTTATGGCTCCTCCTCCTAGACTCTGCTCACAGGCCAGGCCTTCCAGCTATCTTATGTCAGCAAGACCTGTCTCCATCCCATTGCCTCTACAGTCTCGGTCCACCAGGTCCCTGCTCCTGACCGGGACGGTGGTCCCCACACTCCACATCCTGCACACTCTGTGCCCTCCACACTCGTGTCCAGCCTTCTGCTGGCTCTTCCCACTTTTCTCTTTCATGACAAAAGCTCTAAATTAGATTTCCTATTGCCAGAACATGGCCTGCTTGTTCTGACGCACTGCCCTCGACAGCTCCTCCTGTCTCCAACAGCCTTGTTCCGCATACTAATACCCTATCCAGTCACTCCTCAAGTTAATGCATGGGGAAAGAGGAGATGGGAGGTCGTTCTAGATTATCTAAGAGTGCTTGTGAAACCCTAGGGGACTGCTGGATCCAGCGAATGGTCATCAACGGCTCCTAGCACCCCCGAGAGATTACGATGTTATGTGGGTACAAACACACACTTTGATAGAAGAAAGAAGACCTGGCGCTCGATAGGTCAGTAGGGTGACTACAATTAACATTAACCTACTATACATTTCGAAATAGATTATACATTATATAGACTATACATTAGAAATAGACTATACATTATTCGAGAATAATTTGAATGTTCCTAGCATAAAAGATAAGTATTTAAGGTGATGGATATCCTAATTACTGATTTGATTATATGAATGTATTAAATTATATGTTCCCCAAAAATATGTACATCTAATGTGTATCAATAAAAAAAATGAATAAAAAAGACGCTTTGTGCCTCCTGAAAAGTACTCACTACCACCTATTAAGTATCCTTTCAAAAAAATAAAAATATAAAATCTGATCAAGCCTCTAGATTTAACTACCAGTTTACAGGAAACAAGGGTGAGAGGAACACATGAAAAAACAACATGAGGATACAAAATTCTGACTACGGAAAATTATACAGGACAAACTACCCAGCTGCTCTTTTTAAACAAATAAATTGTGGTGATGGGGAAGGAGTGGGAGCAAAATGGAGGAGGAAACTACAGACTAAAAAGAGAGACAATCAAATGCATTTTATGGACTTTTCGGATCCTGATTTAAACATACTAAAAAAAAAAAAAAAGGAGAGAAATTCGAGCATAGCTAAATATTTTGGGATACTGAAGAATTTCTATTAATATTTTAGGTGTGGTAATGGTACTGTGGTTAAGAAAACATCCTTCCTTTTTGAGATGTATAATTAATTATTTAACATAAAATGTCATGTTTATAACATTTAAATTGATTTAAAGTAAAATGTTGTATTTTTAACATGTTATTTAACATACTTCCAAAAAAAAAAAAAACCTACAAATGTGGCAAGTATTGCAAATGTGAATGTGCTTAAGTCTAGGTGGTATGAATGAACACTCGGAAAAACTATTCTTTAACTTCATAATTCTATTCCTGGAATTCTAACCTCAGGAATAATGAAAAATAGGAGGGAAGATAGGAAAGAAGGAATGGAGGTAGCAGATCCTCTTAAGAACTTACTTAATTAGCCACTGTCACTCAGTGAGAAGATACTCATACTATTTATGGATAAGGAAGTAAGCCTTGGAGGATTTTTGTGCACAGGAAATACCCAAGAATCAATGGAGTAAGGATTTCAATCCAGATCTGTAGGCACCAAGACATTCATTATAGGTTTTTATGTTTGTAAGTAACCTAGAAATAACTTAAAGGTCCAACAAGGGTATCGTGAAATACGTTATAACTTGCCCACTAGGAGGTTTGCACATCCGTGAAAAATGAAAATGACACTTTTGTAAGATCTGTAACAGCTTGCTAGGATGCCTATGATGTGTTAAGCAAAAAAGTAAAAATTAGAAAACAGGACAAGAATTCTAAGAGGGAAATGATGATTTGTGTAACATTTAAAATGCTGTGAAGAGTCCACTTGCTCAAGGCTTCTTGGGCATGGCTCCACGTAGAGTTTTTAAACAATTATGAAAATAAGGAAAAAAAAATGCTGTGGAAAGACGCAGAAATAAGAAGTTAACTGTCACTGACTATGGGAGTTAGAATTTTCTCCCATTTTCCCCTCTATAATTAGAGCAAAAACACAACTATTTGGGGTGGGGGAAGAAATGCTACCATCTTTCAAAACCTAACCCAAATGTCACCACGCACATGAAACAGTTTACAGAAATTGCCTCCCCTTTCCTGAAGCCTCACATGCAGCCTGGCCCCTTCCCAGCCACTTCCTGCCTCGCCCAGCCCAGGCGGGAAGCCCTGGAGAGGAGGGGCCTTGCCCCAGGAATTTCCGTATCTGCCAAAGCACTCTACACAAAGGGAGTCCTCAAAAACTGCTATCAACTTGAATCTAGTAGCTTCCTTTTTACACCAGTCTATGCACTCTCTTGGGAAAATGCCAACTGGTACTACCCCCAGAGGTGAGCACCCTCCTTCAGTTTTGCACTCTTGGTGCCTTCTCTTGACTCCAGGCCCTGCCCCAGGGGACGTCCCCACTGCTTGAGGACACAGCAGCACTCAGGACAGCAGGTGCTAGTACTGGCCCATTAGTCACCCACTCTCAGCTCTGCCTTAGGCTGTGTTACCTTAATGGCCGGCCTACCCAAAATGAAGCGGAGCTTAACAAAGACTCTAGTTCAGCTACTTCAGCCTCAAACCCAGTAACAAACCTACAACCCAGGCTGAAGTCTTTTGATTTGTTTTTATGTCTCTACAAACTCAACTACAGCCTACCTTCCCAGGAAAGGATAGGACTTTTCCTAGAAAATAATCTGATTGGCTAGATACGTCACAGCATGCGTTTCACCAACCTATTATGGTCTAGCTAAATAACCTGGATGGTAGAGTTTATTGCCCCAAACCAGGTTCAAAAGATAACAACAAATCTTCAGTCCAGTGTCACTAAAGAAAATGACAACAGCCACAACAGGAAACAGCAGCTGGATCTACTAGGTCAATGGCGGGTCAATATTCATGGGGCGGAAGGTGGCCTCCAGGCTCGAAAGTGCTTTTCACCTCTTCCTCTCTGGGCCCCAGCAGCTGGTCAAATGCCCACTACAGTTCGTAGGGGACAGTAAGCAGCTTGCCAGCCCTTGTTACTCAAGTAGGGGCAATTCTGTCTTACAGAGAGCAGAAGCTGTTCAAGACAACAAAGGTGTAGGCCAAGGCCAGGGCCAGGCAGTAGAGGAGGCTTGAGCAAACCCTTATCTAAAAACGTCTGCACCCTCGAACTGCCCACCTCTCATCCTAACGGCTAAACGGCTACCAGGCCACACCACAGACAGGCTTCCCTCCCCCACTCTTCTGTGATGCAAACAGCCCAGGCAGTGGGCAGAACACATCCCGGCCTGGCCCAGTCTGCCACACCAAGCGGAACCACAAATATATACGAAGCAGCCAGGTTGGGTCACAGTGCTCCCTCTGGGCCCACAGTAAGTCTGATCCCTGGGACAAGTCACTACATGTTTAAGGGGTGGCAAGAGAGCAGCAGTGCTAAGGGCCCAAGACAGTCCAGAGACCCACAGCTCAACACCTGGAGAGAAGCCTGCGTTCCCTGCAGCCCATCTCACGCTCTCCCACGTGAGCCCTGCCAAAGCTGGGCACGGGAGACAGGGATCCGTGAGAGAACAGACAGCAGCAAAGTCCTAAAATCCTACCAGTTGAAGGAAGGCACCTTGTGTATACAAGCGGAGAGAATTCCCATCGCCCTTCCTTCTGCCAAAGTGGGGGGAAAATAAGAAAATAAAAAAGCAAAACTGAGTTATTTAATCTGGGTTGTCTTTCCATTAAAACACGTGAACCACATTTGCAATCCTTTCCCCAGCTGCGCGAGGTTCCCTGCCGTACCTGGGCTCACACAGGAAGGCTGTGTTTTCCCCGTCCGCTCTCCAGACGAGCCACTCCCTGAAGGACGGGTGGCAGAACATGCGGGTTTTGTCTCGCCTCTTAATGAGGAAGCAGGAGAGGGCGTCCATCCTCTGCTGGAAGTCTTCCCACCCCTGCTCCCCCTGGATGTGGCCAGCATTAATAGCCTGAAAGATCTGCTCGTCCGTCATGGGATGGAGGGACGCAAGGGCCACGTTGAGAATCGGAAGTGCTCTCTCGAAGGCAGCCTGGGTCATGAACTTCATGTTACACTGCAGCAGATAGAGCTCCGACAGAGACACGGGCACCACCTTGTAGCTGGCACTCTTGATGACCAAGTGTCCCCTCTGGAAGAGGTCCAGGGTGAGCTTGAGGTACAGGTAGGAGCCAAGGCTCCGCAGCACCAGGTGGCTGCTCACCTTCCCGATGAGGGCAGCGTCGGCCTTGCCGTTCAGGGAGATGTTGCTGAGGATGTCCTGGCTGCTGTGGACCCTGTGCTGGACATAGGCGTGCAGGTCGCTGTGGATGTCTTTGTTGTCCGGAAAGTCATCCAAGGAAAGCTTGACGAATGGCAGCGCACTTACGATCTCCTGGAGGGGGAAAAAAACTCCGCAGTGTCACTCCACAGAGATTCCTTTTTTATTTTAGCAGCATTTCAAACCAGATTCACTAGTTTTCTTTCAAGGAGGATTTTCATGGATTACAGGGAGTCATTGTTTCATATTAAAACGTGTAATAGGATAAGGTGAAGATAAAAAGCTTATGTGAAAGAAATCCTGATGTGAGATTGAATCAGTAAAGTCTCTCCCGAGGCCCTCATCCGAGGACTCGGAGCCAGGCAAGCAGAGTAAGAGCCCCACGCAGCAGTGGCAGCCAGGCCGGTACCAGCAGGGGCAGTGAGACCCTGCAAGTGACCTAATACCCACAGTCCTTACGCTGTGCAACTGGCCATACACACCAACACCGCACATCCTAGAACATGGCCAGATGCCGAGGTAAGAGGCATACCTCTTTGTGCATCAAATACTGGGGCTGTGCAACCCAACCAGGAAGTCTGAGACTGCCCCCGGGCTGTACCCAATGACAGCTGCCTACTTTGGCACAGCATGCTATCATTTTTTAAACTGTTTTTTTTTTTTTTTAGTAAACTTCTAAATTGAAGTATAACATACAGAGGTACGCAAACCATAATTGCACAGTGTCACTGATTTTCACAAAGTCAAATATACCTGTGTAAGCAGCACGTAGACAGAGAACATCACCAGTCCCAGAAGCCCCACATGCCCTTCCTCTCTCTCTCCCCCATTCCAAAGATAAGCACTATCTGACACCTAACAGAAGAGGTTCACTTGTTTTTTTTTTTTTAACCTCCCACTATAATTTTTGAAGTATTTAAATCTGTGTGTCCTCATGTAATGCAATAATTGTAGGAAGAGGGCAGAACACAATTATTCCCATTTTACATGGATGCTAACTGAACCTCTGAAAACACACACAGTTAGGAAGTGAAACAAAGGACTCGTGGTCCCTGTGCTCTATCGATTGTCAGATTATGCTGTGTCAAAAATGGCTGAAAAGTGTACAAATCAAATATCCAAAACAAAAAACATCAAGTTTAACTGAGGTCTCATTCCAGTTTTAATGAGAAAAAAATTCCACCCAAATGCTATTTTAAAATAAATATCATAAAAAGAGCAAAATTCAAAATCTAACATCTAAATGTCTTATGAGTGGCCGGATAGCTCAGTTGGTTAGAGCGTGGTGCTAATAAATGTCTTCATACTGAAAAAGTTCAGGTGTAGAGGGAGTCAATGGTTAACAATTTTAGGGTTCAAATGAGGGGGAAGATAGAAAAAGAAAAAAATCACTCTTGCCCCACTGGGCTGCGAATACTACCTCATGTTTAAGTCTTATGAAAAAACAGACTTCCCACAACAGGCCTTAAAATCTCTTTCATCCTTCACTTTTCCCTTCAAAAAAACCCCCACACAGCCCCACTGCAAACCCGTGCAAATAACTACCAGCAGGAATATCTTTCAACTCTAGCAGACCCACTGGCCACATTCCTCGGACAGCCTCGCACACTGCACGATGGTGACTCTGGCTAGATGTCAACACGGGAGAAGTAAAGGTACGAGACATCTTGATAAATATGCCCGAGGCTAAAAAGGTCACAGTTTCACCCATGTGGGGCTCTGTGGACTGGTTTTTCAAATTCCTAACATAGTTTTCAATTCAGCAGCTAAATGGTTTACAATAGCTGAAGTTATCAGTATTGATATCACTGTAAAACTGGGACTTAGAGATTTGAGAATTCTTTTGTTACCTGAAAATTTGCTCGGACGGTCACAATCAACTTCAACCACGCAGGAAATTTAGAAATAATTTTCGTAATAAATGAAGAAAGTGTATCTCCATAATCAGGTTTATGAAACTCAGCTTCGTTTAAGCCATCTATCAAAATAATGTATTCTTCTTCAGGAATTTTCTGCTCTAAAGGATAAAATAATGTTTTCAAATTAAGAAATTATACATATCTGTAAGATGGCATCACCCGGTGTATTTTAATGCACAGTTTAATTGTGAGGAGAAACTAAAAGGGTTTACATATGGCACGAGAAACGGTTTTCACAGAAGCATATTTTCTATTAAATTCATAATGAAAACTGGAGCACAGGGCCAAAAGAAACCCAGTTCTAACAGAAACATGCTGCATTTCACACATCAGCAGAACCTCGGCCACGTATGTAACACAGTCAGCGCTTCACAAACCACCGTCACGGGCTGGGTGACAGCAAAGACAATTAACACGTAGAGACCAGACCTGGAAAAGACGCCAGGTCCCCCCTTAGAACCCCACAGTGGATTCCAGGTAAGGCAAACTGGCCCTCCGCCCCCGCCAGGGCTCACTGTCCGGCCCAAGCCACACAACCACATGGTGGGGAGAGCTCTGCTTCATAGACCCCACATAGACCCCTTCCCACGAGCCTAAAGCTAATATTCCATTCATTAGTACCAACTTTCAGCCCAGAGAAGGGAGGAGAAATGACATCTGTTTCACATTCTCTCTCTCTCTGGCACCTTCTGGCAGAAGTGCTGTGTGGGCAGGTAAACAAACTAGCTCAAAAGGTAAGGAGCGAAGGGTAGAAAGGACAGAAAACTGAAGGGCCCACAATGTCACTGACATCCCCTATGTCACAGAATATTCAGGGGCAAAAAAAAAAAAAAAAAAAAATCAAATGGAAACCTCTGGAAATGACTTTCGGTTTCAACTCAACTGAGTGGAGGCCATGAAAAAAACATATGCTGGAAAACTCTCCCAAATAATCCACTTATTCCCCAATATCTAAGAGTACAAAATACGTAGGCAACGGTCTTTTAAGGGTGCAAATCATCTTAAGAGCTGCAGTTATCAATTGGCTGCTTTGGAACGGTTCGATTGTGGAGTTCATTCTTATCAGGGATGCTTCATTTAACACTACGCCATTGGTGGGGGGTGATAAGGAGGGACCTCGGGGAGATCTGAGGAAGGGGACCAGATGGGCACTGATGCTTCCACATCCTTCCCCGCCCCTCCTCACTTCTACCCCAGGGCTGAGCTGACCACCCTCCTCCGGAGGGCCACCTGGGTGTCCCGCCCCACTACTGAGAGAGGGGATTTGGGGGCTGCTCCGAGGTACCGTTTCTCAGGCTTGTGAGCGGCTCCAGCACTCCCCTCTTGAAAGCTGCCACTGGGTCCTGCACACAGGATCGGAGGCTCAGCATGCTCTGCAGCTGGGGCTCCTTTATCAGAAGGTCTCTGTAGGCGGCCAGCTGATGGGACCGGCAGAGCAAAGCCGCGATGCTGTGCACGAACTCCGGCACCAGGCACGTGTACGTGTTATCGGCCTGGCAGTAGTGGTAGGCCACCACCTACGGGGGAAGCAGACCGTCAGCGTCACCTCACTCTCTTCACGCAGCTCCGTCTGTGATCTCAAGCAGGAACACAACTCTGCCCGCTCGCTGGGATAACAGGATACATTGCTTCCATTCCCCAAGACCAAGTCCTTAGTTAGCTTAATCGATCCATTTATCCCTTCCTTCGTCTGTGTGCTTTGAAGACCTTTTACTGCATCCACAAATTCATCTTGATTAGCACAAAAATCAGTACAAGTTACTCTGTACTAAATATAAAGTAATAAAAAGTCATTCATAAAACTTAAAGCCTATCCTGGCTTGAAAAGCAATTCCAAGCCATCCCAATGTCCTGGACATTAAAAAGTACCATCCAGGCAGACGCGGTGGCACGCACCTGTAGTCCTAGCTACTTGGAAGGCTGACGTGGGAGGAAGATGACTTGAGCCCAGGAGTTCAAGGCTGCAGTGAGCTATGATTGTGCCACTGCCCTCCAGCCTGGGCAACAGAGTGAGACCCTGTCTCTTAAAAAAAAAAAAAAAAGTGCCATCTTCACACAGAGATCACATTTCTGGTGTCAAGAGCAGCAGCATCTCTTTAGGAAATCCTTTTGCTGAGCCCAAAGGTAGAAGATAAAGTTGGTGGCTCCGAAACCCGGGCTGTAGAGTCACAGCTGTTCCTCTCCGCTGGCAGGCGGGCTCAAGCCCTCAGCCCCGCTCCCCATACCCACATTTCGTCAAGGGACATTGTGGAGTTCAACAGGGACATTATCTGAAGAATGGAAATCGGAAATTCGCAAATTTCTGCCTTTCGTGTGAAGAGACAAGTAGGAGGAGAGGGAGCTGCCCAAGTACCGGGAGGACGCGGAGTGGTCCCCTCAGGAGGAATCTGCGGCAGCTGCAGGTTATTGGTTAAGAGGGGCTCAAGGAAAGGGTCAGCTGCAGAAGTCCTGGGAATGAGTGAAAGATACACTGTAGATAAATGAAAAATCCAATACCTCCCAAATGAGGAGGAAAGGAGGAATGTAAGCACGAGGTAAGGCAGGCAAAAAAGGGGCAAACACACTTGTGTGAAGGGTTGTGTGTTTTTTCAGAAACATCTGAGTCACGGCCGCCCCAGCCCCTGCAGGAAGGCGGACAAGATCACCAGCCACAGTTCCTGGCTGAGGACAGCTGACACTGAGGGTAAATACCTCGCCAAGGTGACAGGGAGTCAATCAAAGATCTGGGATTAGATCCCAGGGCTGCAGACTCTTCAAAAGCAAGGAGCAAGAGTCTACGTGCAGCAGCTTTCCTCAGGCCAGCCTGGAACTGCCAGAAGACTCCTGGTTTAGATCAAATTTATCATCGACACCCAAAGGAAAGCTGACTGCTCTTCAACTCTCACCTGGACAGAGATTAGCAGGGACACAGGTGAGGACTCTGTGAGCTTGTGCAAACCACCATGAGACACTCAGTACCACGGTCTTGCATGGTGTTTGACAAAAGCAGCTTGGCAACCCAATAGTGGTCATAAAATCAATTTGGAGCCACAGAGTTTAAAAAAAAAATGTAATAAAGTGAATTTAAATTGCCAGAGAGTATTATAGGATGAAAGAATAAGCAGTTTTGTAGTGCTTTTGCTCCAGTTGTGTGTGTGATTATGTGTGCATGATATTCAGGCAGAGCGTATTCGCGTCAGTTCCCCTGCACCAGCCCCACCCCCGGGGGTCTCCTCGAAAGGTGCATCTCATCCCTGCCCATCTCTGGTGGTTCTCCAGCTCCACCAACTCACACCATGGTTGCCAAGGGAGACCAGCATGGCTCGCCAAGGGCAAGAACTGTAACTGCTTTAATGTAAGAGGGTGGCTTATGAACCAGGGATGGATGTTGAGCAGAAGGAAAATTTCAGAAGGACCTTGATGACCACGAATTTAGGAAGGGAAAGTCAGTCAAAGTGTCTTTTACAACTTCACAAGAAACCTCGGACAGAAAGCTGCAGGAGTCAAAGGCCCCAGGCAACAGAGTGCAGGCACAAGAGGTCTGGGTCCCGTTAAAAGTTCCCAGTCTCCTGCTCACATATCAAATTAAGCAAAGCGCGTGCTTATAAGGATGGATTTGTGGCAAGTACACAGATGTCTCCTGATGCTTTGAGGAACTCTTTCAATCCATTGTATAAGAGGTCCACGGCCAATGTCTTAAGACAGATATTTATTTTTTCACATCTTTTATTTGGTGTACTTTATCACAATTTTATCAAAAAGCATTAAGCAGCTGTCTCTGTTTTAAGATTCCTTTTCCTCTTCACTTCTCAGAAACCAAACTAGAAAACTCTATCTGGAAGGTTCCCATAAAACAAGAGCAGATTACCTTAGAAGCGAGGTATTTCACCGCATCCTCTCTCGGTCTCTGGTGTTCCGGAGTACCAGACCCAGCTCCAAGAGGAGTTTTCGCTGTGCTGGAAGCACTTGTAGAAGAACTCGGTGAAAGCAATGGAGTGAAAGGAAGGTCCTGGGCAGGGTCCGAGGCTGCAGAGAAAAGACCCATTCCATGTTTGCATCAGCACAGAGTAGGGTGGGATACTGAACATATTTCTTGATCAGCCCTAGAGAGTATTTTAACAGGTAAAGAGTGAACATGGTCCAAAATTCAAAGGTCCAAAAGAGAGCACAAGTCCCCCACCCATCTCCCACCCACCCGGTTTCCCCTCCCTGGAGAACCACTGTTTCCAGTTTCCTTTATTAAATTCTTTTGGGTTAAAAAAAAAAAAAAAATCTCATACGGCTCACCTGTTCTTATTCACCATGTTTAGAGACATTCTCTTTTTAATGGGGTTGCTACATATGAAATAAGCAGGGAATAGTCAAATATTTGGCTACTCTATGCCATATCTAACTTAGTGTTTATAGTTTTAGTAAATCCAGTATAAAATACAAAGGCTGTGGTGAACAGGGCACAAAAGAATTCTATAGCAGACTCTGTCTGGCTTGTTCTGCCAGGAGTCCAGCCCCATGGTCTTAGGACCAAGAATCCCTCAGGGCACTTGATCAGGCCTCACGGCCCCACCTCTGCCTACATAAAGAGGGAGAGAGGGGTTGCAGCTCAGGAGGACGTCAGGAAACACTGGCCTCACCCCAGAGGATAGCCAAATACACACTATGATAGATGAAGTATTCAAATAATTCACTTAACAAATGATCACAAACCTAATAACAGTAGTTGGAACAACTTGAGGAAAATGGGTAATTTCTGTGTATCCAAACAGCAATTTCCTCCATCTATCTTATATTAATAAACTAGACAAGAAGTTAAGTGTGGACATACCTTTCGGTGATGAACTGGGGCTGTTGGAAGCAATTTGCCTCATGCGGCTTCCGTGGCAGCTCAGCGCCACCAACTTGGAAATGATCGCCGTCTTCCCAAATCCCACATTTCCAACAACCACTGCTCCTCTATTTTCTGCCAGTTCTGTGTTCCTCAAGTTTTCTTCTATCTGGTGAAAGAGCCAATCTCTTCCCACAAACACAGAGTCTGTCGTTATGCTCGGTACTTCGAACAACAGGGGTTTCAACAAAATGTCTTGTGGCTTGTAGGGAGCAAATCGCGCTTAAAAAAACCAAAACAAAATCATTATTCTAGAAGAATGTCATAATTTTATATGCTAAGAAACTCAATATATCATTGTTTGTGTGTTACACTTAGTACAACCTACAGTTTTACCCCACAAGGGATCTGTAAGTATTTCCAATCTGATTCTATTCATACTTCTGTAATATCTCATTTATCATACCCTACTGGTCCTACAAAGTGTCCTATTAAAATGACTTTCTAGTCCTTTCATGCCTCTGAGTTATTCTCGTCACTCAAGGCAGACACATAGAGGATTACAGAAAGCAATGCAAGAGGCCAAACCATGTGTCATTGGTTGATCTGAAACCGTACTTAAGACATGTTCCTTCCCTACTACATCGGTAAAATAGAAGTATGTTTTCTCTAGAGATTATAATAGCTCTCATCTGAGCATGATGACGCTTTGCCCACATGGTGAGGCTGCTGTGCACACAACTGCATGTTACAGGTAGATACAGGACATGGGTGATTCATTCAGTCCAAGGAAGTGAAACAATGCTCATTCTTTGTTAGTAACAAAAAAAATCTACCAAGTGTTAAATTACCCCTCACTTTAAAATAACTAACTACAGAAATATTTTTCAATTCCAGAAGTTAATCACGTATTTTAAGAAAGAAGCTCAAAACTATTAAGGATGGCCTCCTAGCACACCTCACACTTTCCATCATGTTTTAAAAACAGTTGGTTTAAATGCTGGTTATCACAGACTTTCAGTGTTTAGTGAATGAGCTCATCACAGCCATTATCACAGTGGATGCAAGGATAAATACCTTTAGCTTCCTGTGCCCTACCTCCAGCCGTATTGTGCCATGGTAATCTAATCGACGTTCGTAGAGGAGCATTTCTCTGCCCATCTAAATAGCTCAGATCTTCCAATTTGGTTGAGCTTGTTGCTGTAATATTAAATTGAAGTTTAGCCTCTTCGAAGTTGAGTTTAAATGAAATACCTAAGCTACCACAAGTCATAGATTACTAAGCGATTCAGTTTAGGCTTTTAACAAAATTTACTTAAAGGTGGATTTTGGTTTTGTTTGCCCTAGTTTATTTTTCTGGCAATATTCTTAATTGCAAAGTGGTAAAATCTAAATGCTCCTTATTCTTAAATCAAAGTTATGTTGACATGACTGCCAGAATTCTCTGCTATTTCTGGAAAGAGACAGATTTCACTATAAATTGTTTTATGAAGAAATCTGACAATCACATGTCACGCAGTACAGCTTCAGTACTTACTGCAAACATGTGGCATGGTACTAGATTCTTCTCTGCAGCTCTGGAAAGCTTTCTGCTGTTTGGAATTCCAACCTTGTTAATTAAATGAGCAGATTCTGCATGTATAATTCCATAGTACTCAGAACACTAAAAGCTCTCGGCTGTAATAGTTACAACATATTCCTAAGCTTTAAATATACATAGATATGTAAATGTATTATATATTATAACATACATTATCTAGGCATATATATGTATATATTTCTTAAATTTCTAAAAATGTTCACCTCTGACCAAATCAGTAAGATTCATTGCACATAGGTACCTGTTAAAAAGCATTAAGGATCTATTCCAACATACACACAAGTTGGATTATAACTAGTACAAAATAATTTTGCCGATTCTCAGCAAACCTTAGAAGCAAATATACACAGTACATGTTTTTGCCTTAAAAAACCCCTCCTCTTGTTTTATACATACATCCTAGGTCACAATGAAAAAAATTTAAATAGAATTAACCTAATTTGGTTTGTGGCTTATGTGGCCCAACATAAAGTATTGCTGATCTTAGACATATGATTATCTTCCAGGATAATAAAACATACACATGATTTGAGGGCCAATGAGGAGGCCAGTGGGAGTCACACTGCAAGGCCAAAGGCTTTTCAGGACTGATGAAATCTTTAGTGGGACCAAGCTGCAAGAGAGAAGTCAAGTTGGGCCATCTGTCTTCTAAAAACCCTCTGGCTACCCTACAGGCTCTGACCCAGCATCCAGCTGCTGACTGGCGGCATTAGTCTGACCTGAGCTCTTCCTATTTCCTCTCCTAAGGTTTCAGTCCTTCTCCTCCACACTGTCCACATCAACCCCTCTCATCCTTTCATTTAACAAGCACCTGAGTGGCTCCAGCCTGACTCTGTGATGGCATATCCCCTCTTGCTGCATCCCCCAAAGGACAATCAAACACACGCCCTACCTACTCACCTTCCCAGCCAGTGGAAAGCATCTGAAACCCTGACTTCACAACAGTTTACACCTTTGCTTCTATTTCCTTTTGGTGCATATCCACAGCCTGTATACACCGTGTACATGTTTAAGCAAATACTCCATGCAGCTACCACGCAATTCTCTCCCATTAGAAACACTCAGATAATTCCTTACGCAGGACCTCCAAATGGACCTGATGTATAGTGATCCAATGGCAGCCTCTAGCTTCACTCCACATCCTTCATAACCAGGATGTGTGAAACTTCCTGGAAGGCTAAAGGACTGCATCTGTTCCCCCACAACCCTGGCCCCCCAGTCTCCCAACAATAACACAGCTTGGAACATATTTCTAGGCTCCTGCCCAAGCCGCGGGACTCTGACCCCTTCTCCTCGCATGCCTCACGGTGAGTGTGCCCATCATGGCCCATGCAGAAGGGGCGGCAGCCACAGTCACAACCCGTAACTCATTTCAGAGCCGAATGGTCACGAACATCTGACGTGTTGCCTCGGCCCTAGAGAATACAAAGATGCTCAGAGCATCAAAAGGGTTTCCTATTTCCTCTCTTCCCGACCCCTTAAAATATAACATTCAATTCATAGTTTTGTGACAACTGAAAGGATTAAAAATACACAACTAAAAAGGACATTACAAAGAAAGGATTGCAAAAATGCCTCATCTGACACAGATGCAGGAGACGGTGAGATTTTAAATGCTTCTGTTTTCAGATTTCCAGTCACCAGAGCTCCAGCTCCAAAGAGTGCAACAGAGCAGCCTCAGCAACCCTTGTAGCTCTTGGCTGATTCTCGGTTTCAAACATGATTCCCCTGAAAGTTACAGCAGAGTTCCAAGCCATCAGCTACCTCCATTTCCTACCCTCTCCTCTCCAGTGACAGAGACCCCAGCAAGCAGGAGCAGGGAAGCTTCAGCAGCTTAACTACGTGTCCAGGTGTTGCTCCCCACTGAGCAGGTGACGTGGGCCATTCTGCCTCCTTAGGCATGTCTGTAGCAGATTCTCAGACATTACCCGTGCAAGAGTCAGACTCACGTTCAGTATTTAATGATAAACGCCTGCAAAATCCTAAACACTATCCAGGGCCAAGAAAAATCAGAGGTAAAGCAATAATTTCATGCCGCAATAAACTTACTGCTAACATCTCTACAATTAAATTAATTATACACTTACTGCGCGCGCGCGCACACACACACACACACACACACACACACACACACACACACTGTGTCTAATTTCAAAATGCTAAGGAAAGAGTTTGTTTTTTTGGGAGGGTGGGAGCTTGAGGGGAGAGTTCTCTAAGCTGAACAAAGAGGAACATCTGCTAAAATTGTGGACTAACCTATGAAAGGTAAATGCCAATAAGTCCAGGCAAATTAGCAGTTAGAGTTTCAAGAAAATTAGATGGTAATTGTGTTTGTTGGTTTCCTGGAAAATTAAACAGTGTTCTGTAATCTATTCAAAGTATTTCAAGAGGGAAAAAAAAGGTAGTAAAAAATAGTAGAACACATTACCCAAATTCTAGATGATCTAAAATACTTTTAAAGTCTTCATATTGTTTTTCAATATAGGAAAAAAGGTGTCCATGTCATACATTTTGATGTGATATACAGCTTTCCAAATCAATCCCATTCTAACAAATACCTTTACAAAGAAAACCTATGTAATAATCTCTAAACCTAGTCAACTTATTTTTACGATCTTTGACCAAAAAAAAAAAAATTGTCACTTTACTACACAGACAACTACAGTTCCTTGTGGCAGGCTTGATGACGGTGAAGGCTGGCAACCTTAGGGACTGGTTCTGCACCTCACCCCCCGGGCCAGTCCCGTGAAGGGAGGCCTGGTATCACCGTCTTCCTTCGCCTGCCAGTCCTCTCTGTCCCCATGCGCCAAAACACCTTTCCTACCAAACCGGTAATTTGTGTTTACGTGGATCTTAACATGCAAATACTTCTCAGAGACTTCAGTATCTGGTCCCTCATATTATTTCAATCCTTCTAGCACTGAGTGTTGTCTGCTGCCTTGTTGTAGCAGCCTGTCTTCTAATCGCTAAATAAACAGCGCTGCATATAGTTTACACAACCCGAGTCTTACGCTTTTCAATGATACTTGAAAAATACTGTCATTCCGTCTTAACTGAGGTTCAGCTTTAGGGGCAGGAAGGTGGGCCATGAAGAATCTTCTAGACTCCTAGCTTGTTAACAGATACTGTGAGGTAAGGTATTTGCCTATTTCCTTCCAAGTATGCATTTAGATTTAAAAATATGCAGCACAGAAGAAATGAGCAAACCCATTAGGCCAGGTAGACTCTGCTCAAATCCAAAGGTAAAGCCCTCCCCTTTCCACAGGAGGTCTAGCTCAAGGGCATACATAGAAGCTAATGAATGAGCACAGCAGCAATCAGAAAGCTCTGCTCTATAATCACAGCAGTCTCCTGGAAAAGCTCAGGTCACACCCACTGTCACTTTGCATGGCAGGAGACCACAGGAAAGAACATCAAGCAGAAAACATAACCCCAAACGGGATGCTTTTAACACTTAAAATTAACATATTAATGTTTCCTAATTTTAAAATAGCTTCATTAAATTGAATGCAAGTTTGCTATTTTGTTAAAAGTCGAAAAGCTATCAAGTTCCGGGATAATACAAATGACCCATTCATCGCAACTAGGTAAAATATGGTTTAAAACGCCTTGGGTGCAACATATTATGTTAAAGGTGGTAAACTGGTAGAGGGAGGACCAAAAGCTTGTGGAAGAGCCATCAGTCAATACAGGTAACGTTCTCCAGTAATAGACATGCCAAATCCTTCCTCTGGAACAAAGCCATTTTAACTTCCTTTGAAAGTGAATTAGAGTTGTGCCTCAGAACTTTTCCATTAGGGACATTTATTTATCAGCTGCTTCAGAGTTCCACTGTAAAACACCCAACAGCAGAGTGACCCACCACACATCCTGAAAGCCTAATATAAATTACAGAGAAATCCTCTGATGTAGCAAAAGAGAATCTGGGTCCATGCATTAGTAGAAGAGAGATTTTAAGTGCTACACTGATAACAAAGAATGACTGTAAGAAGTTCCTCTTCTAAATTCAGCCCAAGAGCCTGAAGTTTAGAAACTCAAGACCTTAAAAACAGGCACCATGGCTCAGATGAAGAGAGTTCTTTCCCCGCCCATCCCAAACTATAGCCTTCGCTCACTCGGTATCCACTCGAGACTGGTTCCAGTACCCCCCCAAACCCAGCAGGCTTCCAGGATACCACAATCTCTGGATGCTCAAGTCCCTTATATAAAATGGCATCGTGTTTGCTTATCACCTACACATATCCCCCTACATACTTCAAATAATCTCTAGATTTCTTATAATACCCAATACAATGTAAATGCTATGTAAACAGTTGGTATAGTGTATTTTTAAATTTGTATTATTTTTATTGTTGTACTGTTATTTTTTTCTTGAATATTTTCAATCTGTGGTTGGCTGAGTCCACAGATGCAGAACCCTTGGATCTGGAGCGCCGACTGCACTCTCCTTGCTTGACAGCCACCTACTGACCAGTCCAACTATTGACAGCGACTGGTATTTGTTCTCTCTTCTCTCTTAGTTCCTGTGGCTGCACATAGCTAAGACATCTGTCTTGCTATTTTCATTTCTTTGATTGAGAGCTCTCACTTCCATGGCTCATGTTTTAAGCTGTGAGCTTAAAACTGTAACTAAATTGTACAGAATTGTACTAAATTATACAGAAATTCAACCTCCAGTCTGTACGATGGGCCTCAATTATACAAAAATAAGTTTGGAAGCTGGATTCAAAATTCTTCGAGCTGATATTAACAAACTCACTCTAAACAATAATTCCTCTTTACCAATATATAATAAAAAGTCATGAAGTTACTCAGGTTTAAAACAACAAAACCCAAGGGGAGAGTTTTTGTATTTTCTTCCCTTATACACAAAGAGCCACATAGTCCAAATCATAGATTTAAAGAATTCCAGAGCAGAAAGATCACTTAGACCATTAAGTACAATGTTACTGTGTTTACAGATAGGTAAACTGAGGCCTAAAAAAGGTCATTGCCTGATCCAAGATCACAAAGCTGGCTTGTGTCTGGATTAGATTCCCACATGAAGACAGTGAACACAGGACACCTCAGTCTCAGGGAGAGAACCCTTCCAGGGAGAGGCGTGGCCTTACCTGCAACTGAGTTGGGCCGTGGCATTATTAGTGAGCTGGAGCTCTGAGAATAAGGGACCGGACCATCTCCAGCTGCGGATTCCGCTTTGGGCAGCACGCTCTCCGCTGACCCAGTGGTCTCCTCTTCTGCCACTGGGGAGCAGTTATCTGCCCTGCGATCAGGAAGCACTCCCTTCTGAACCCCTAACCTTAGGCTTCCATCTTTATTCCATTCCAAACTGGAGCCACTCCGGTCATCATTTTCGGATGAACTTGTAATTGTGGCTGAAATGAGAGACCAAAATACTTTGAAGGAGGCCAGGAATAGCTGGGGCTATCTATTGAGAGTTAAAACACACACTGCCCTCCCCAGGATCCATGGAAAGTTCTCCAGTCCACAAAGATTTTTATCGAAGTATGTTGATATTTTGGTAAATTAGAAGAACGTTGCTTATCAGGGGAAATAAACTGCTAAATCACTCTACAGAGGAGGGAAAGAAACTCCGATAGGAAGATAATGAAAAAAACTCTTAGATACTTTTTAGACAGCTAACAGTAAATCTATATAATTTGGAGATAATGTATCCTTTCTTTTTAACAAAGATGAATTGCTCAGGAAAGAATTCCTATCTCATTAAATTACTTTGAACCTTTAAGTATACTTTCCAAATGAATAACATTTGTTGGGGGGTGGGGTGTGGGCACAATCAACAAAATGGTTAATGCAGAAAAGATGCAGGATAAAATCTACAGAAACAAAAACACAATTATAAAGTCAAGCAGAGAATTTGATCCTTAAAGTTTATAACATCTGTTCAAGATAGTCCAGAGAGCTGACTTGACTTAGTTCTTTAGCAGCAATGGAAAACCTTCACGTAAGCAGCCCAGGGAAAGCACCGGCATGGGAAGCTATGCTGTGATTGCAGAATTAAATTTAACCCGTAGAAAAGAAAACCAGCCTAGGAGGGAGGGTAAAAAAGGTAGGAAAACCCTTTTGCAAACATCTTTGCAAAACAGCAGGATGAAAATGACCAAAGAAAGAAGCAATACTCACCCTACATAGCTTCTACAAAGAGCCACTTATAATTTAAAGATGCTGAGCCATATGGGATCCCCTTGCAACAGGTCACTGGGCCACTCACACTGCCCCACTGTTGACCTAACGCTGGCTTGTGTCCTTGAGAACAGGGGCCATGTGCACTGACCCCTCTGTTCCCTATTAAATCCTAGTAGCCTAGGCCCTTGACTGCAAGCCTGCTAAATGGGAGTATGCCAGGCCAAAGTGCATTCAGAAGGCAGCTGCCTGGATTAAGCTGCTTTATCAACACCCTGTGATGATTCGTACTTTATCAGCAGACTGGTGAATTAGCTCAAATGGAGTCAGTTATTTAGGATCAAAGGGTCTGAAGGAGTTTGGTTTTGTTTATTTTTACAACAGTGCTTTAAGATTTGGAAGTAAAGACAAAACAATTTCCTTGCATGTGACCGCAGGACTTCCTGTCACAATTCTAAGACTGTCTCTGATCCTCCTTCGGCTGCAGCCTGGATTTACCACCCTCTGGTCGCCTCCCTATTTAAAAATCCCAGCCACACACTGAAGCCTCCCTAGAGTATCTACAGCAATCTTTTCCCTTTCTCAACAGCGAAGAGCCTGGCACACAGTATAAGTGCTCAATAAATCTTTGCTTATTGAATGAATGAGCAAATGAACAGACTTCACTTCTACTGTGGGCAGAGACACTACACTTAACTCCACTGTTAACAGTTCGTACTATATATCTAACCAAAGCATAAACTGACTTGGGACAGGGTCTGTCACACCTTTTGGGTAGACTCCCAGTATTGCCAAGTGTTCTATCAGCAGTAATAAACCATACCTCTATCTCTTTTGAAATTACAGGCTTCATGGTGTTTTTAAATGCACCATTTATATGAGCATAGATACGTAAGCAAGTGTGACTCTTTTCATCATAAAAATGCTGATGGTGATGGGGGTGGTGATAGCAGCAGCTAACATTTACTGAAGGTTGTTTACTACATGCTAGGGACTGTGCTAATGCTTTACAGAAATGGTTTAATTTAATAATAAGTTTATTGCTTATTAGTGGCAATTATTAATGGTAATCCTATTAATAAGTATAAAAATACAGGCAGTTCTGTATCACAGATGGTGTCATAAACCTTCATTTATTAAGTCCAATATTTGCAACTCAGAAGGCTTTTTTCAGACATACTGTAATAAGTTAGGTTCTCAGGCTACCCCAACATCTAAATAAGAGAAAAAGTTCCAGACTAGGGGTGGAGGTGATTTGTTTGGTTTTGTTAGGGAGCACATGTTTAGAAGTTGAAAAATAAACAGAAAGTCAAAGTGCGCTAAGTGCCAAGCACTCCTGCATCAAACCCCCAAGGGTCTGAGTCCTAACTGTGACCTTAAGCAGTGGGAACAGGGACTTCCTGTCACAAGTGACATTACGGAAAGCAGGACCTCAGGGCCCCAGGAAGCAGCTGGAGAGAGCTGGGAAAGCCCAGTCAAAGCTCCTGGACCGCAGGACAGGCTGAAGGCTCAGTGTTCACCGTAGGGCGGGTGCCCTACACTATGCCCAGGATTTGATGGGAGGAAACGATCAGGTCTCGGCTGTGAGAGGAAGGAGAATGGGTGGGGGAGGAAGGCTTCCAGCTGCAGGAACAGTGGCTGGGCAGAGTAGTCCCAGATGGGGTAGCCATTTCGAAAGGAAAGTATTAACCAGTCAGTGTTTTAAGCAGGAGACTCTAGAGAAGAGGCAGCCCTCCACTGCCCTTAGTTCAGGTGAGGAGACATTCTTTCCACCGCCCACATTCCCTGGGGCTCTGAGTGGCCAGGAGGCTGGAAAATCTGAGGCCACGGGCTTTCCTAAGATGCCCCACTCCACGAATATTCCTCCCTGGCATGCAAAACCAGATGCAGCCTACAGAGTCTGAAGCCTAGACAGTGCACGTCCACCCTGCAGCAGATCCAGGGGCAGATAGCGGCCCAGTGAGTCCTGGTTTCCCCACACGACCTAAGAAGCAACCACATGGGGAAGCTCCGCGGTCTCTGAGAAAGAGAAAGCTGGTTCTTCCAATAAATGACAGGCTACTCAAACATCTTTCTTCCAGGCTAACAGAAACTCAAAACTCCTCATGAGGTTAACCCAGTCAACTCTCAAGAATGCTCCTGTGTAGAGACACACACACACACACACACAACCAGGGCAACGTCCTAATGGTGGTGACTTTTTTTTAAAATCTCTAAAAAATAAGTGCTATTTGACATTTTCCAGAAACTAGATAATCTTTAAAATTCGCTAAAAACTCAAAAATTCTAACATTTTATCCTTTCAACCAGTAAGGATGGCAGCTTTTGTCAATTAAGGGTTGCCATGATTACCCCAACTTGGTCTCAACCATGCTTCCAGCACACAGGATTCTGAAACATGAGTACTTACCAGGCCTTGCGCTTTATCAAGCTGGGAGGTGAGGCAGTGCCTTAAAATTTAGCGTTATATTAGTTTGGTACTGCTCATTGATTCATATGTGCTATTTCTGACTCTCCACGCAGGCTGAAAATTCCTTTTAGCCCCAGGGGCAGGGTCTTTTCTTTCTCTGTACTAGTACCAAGGCTGGAATACTTCCAGAGTACTTTCTTGATATACTAGGGCAAATACCCAATCACCACAACTGTGAAAGGAGGTAGACAGGCTGAGAACCACCAACCTCCCTTTATAGGTACTAAAACAGATTCGGGGAAATTGATCCTCTCACACACACAGCACATGCATGGTTAGTGGTATATCCAACGCCAATACTCTGACTGTACATACTGTGTATTTTTAAAAGACTCTTTGCTTGCACAGTGCTCTACATGGAAAGGAGTTCTTTTAAGTACACATGGCTAAAAAATAGTTTGCAGTTCATGAGTCTGCGTCGTTAAAAAGTCATCCAGTGTTTTGCTATGTGAGGCTCTGAAATAAGACTGTATTCTTTCTTCTCCTCGCCAAATTTTTAAAACCTCCTCTTTGACTTCTGAAGGTTCTATGTTGAATGTACACTTGAAAGAGTCAATAACAAAAAATCAGTATAGGTCCAGGATCTTGAAGGTTAGTTTGGTGGGATCGAAATCAAGTCATAGGTTTAAAAGAACATTAAGAAGAAAGCTAAACTGCCTACCATGTTAGTCCAGAAATGTTCAGGAGCTAAGAGCCAATGATATCGAATATATGCCACACAGAGCAGAATTCTCTTTGAGCTACAGGCAAGATAAGAGGTGAAAAGTGAGAGGGGCTTGGGTGTAAACCTTGGCTTCTCCCCTTTTGAGGAGGAGGTATGTCTCTCTGGACCTGGTACCAGGAACAGGTACATTTTTGTCTTTACAAGCATCACCTTCTATATTTGATTGCATTTCTCTCTTTCCACTGGCTACTAGGAAACTTAAAACTTTCTGCCCACTTAGAAGACAAATGAATAAAATCTTACGCACCTGACTGCTGACTGCATCTTTTCTCTTGCTCCTATTTCCTTTCCCCAACTCATCCCTTCACCGAAAAAGAAAAATCTTGGTTTACTAAATGTCTATTTGTGAGCATTTCTAATTCACCAGGGAGGAAACAACAATGGTAGTGGCTAAGGTGAATATAACAGTGTTTACTACATGCCAGGCTCTAACCTTTGTCGTATTTCCACTCACTGAATCCCCGGAACAGCCCTATGGACAGCAAAGCCCCAGAACGCCCCAAGTCGTGCTGTATTCCAGAAAGGTGCTCTATACTATTCTGATCATGCCATACTAGTTAACAGAAAATTTGGGGCACGCATCCCAAATACATGTATTTCTAAATTATGTACATATGCTACCCTAATTTATTATAATATAAAACACACAAAAATATACATTTTGAAACAATCAGAAAAAAGCCCAGAAATTGAAATTTTCTTCACGCACTCCTTAGATAGTCTGATGTAGTCCTCATTTTCCAAATGAGGGCTCTATAGAGTCTTGTCCTTCCTCGGGTTGTGTAGAAAATTAGATGTGAGGATGTATATAAAGTGCCCCATATATCCTGAGTACTCAAGAACATTCTCCTCCCCATACAACTCAAGAAAATTAAAGTGGCGCTTAAAAAAACCCAACATTTTTTAACCTCTATATTCAGTTTAATGTTTGACAGGAAGAATTTAAAACATTGGACCAATGAATTAAAGATCAAACAAGAGAAGAACATAATGGTTGCCTACAAAAGCAGGAGAAGGGAAGAAGTGAATAAAAAAGG